TTGTCACCTTTGCATAGCTTTCATCTGTGCGATGGCACAGTGAACGAAGTGAAACTAAATTAGCTGGATGGGTTAAATTACTATTCACATGCCAATTTTTTTTATCGTGAAGTTCTACGTATAAAAGGCCATTGTTTTAAATACTCAAAGGGCAAAAGCTTTCCTTTTATCTGAATTAATCATTGCAGTTTTATTACAACATTGTGGACTTCAATGAAACGTCATTTTGGAGGCTCCGTATTATTCTGTTCTAACATTATTTCCAGGAAGTATAATTTGGCTCCGTACCTAAAAGAATATTTTGCACCAGTTTATACTGTTCTTCACCGCTTATCTTATTGTTGTCGTGCCTGGTGTTTCTACGACGCAACTAGACAGCTAGCTAGTTCTGTGTTTTGGGGGGTTTGGAGGAATGGAACCTGCCATGCAATTAATGCTAGCAAAAGGTTGCACAAAAGTGAGAAAGCAAAGTAGACAATGTCTTCGGATGGACCGGTCAACACGTCAATCTTAACATATAACATTCGTAGTGGTAGGAATGGAAATGAAATGTGTACTAATGCTCCAGGAGTTTCTTTTGATGCTCCAAAATGGTATTTTATCTGCTCCAAAAGGTGCTCCAAAATGACTCGGACCACTCATCACATCACTGCGTGACACATTCCGCGCAAAGACCGCCTGCTGCAGTCGACAGACTTCGTCTGCGAGAGACACGTTTGTGAGTAAATCGTGGAAAGCCGTCAAGGGCCACGTCCTCGTAAATGTCCCACGGAAAGCTGTTCGGGCGAAAGACGCAGTGGCAACAAAGTTTCCGGGCTCTCTCTGCTACCTTGGCAAAGACAAAAGAAAAAAAGAAAAAAAAAAAGGACCCGCGGATTGTTGCCTTTTCAGCGAACGGCACCGTGTCGCAGACAAGCAGCTCATTTTTCACTCCATATGGAAGTGCAAGAGTAGTGCATGTTACTTTTTGTTCGTCAAATGTTGCTTTCCTCTAAAGTTAGGGTGTTTACTTTCCGAATTATGTCAACAAATTAATTGCTTGTTCAATAAAAAAAAAAAAAATTCATAGACCGAAACATGCATCTCTTTGCCATGTTTTTGCCTCAGCACGTTTGGTATACACATCGGCGCTAACGTTTAATAAGTATAGTATGAGGGCGTTAACATCATTCGATGTTTTAGTAGAGATGTCGGCTTAATAACAGGATAAAAAAAAAGTAGCACGCCACTGCTCGAAAGCACTTTTCAAACATTTGTTTGTGCAAACGAGGGAACCGTTTTGGTCACTATAGGAGAAAAAGGCGCCTTGTATTTTATGTCGTATGGACTGCGGCAACAGTCTCGGCATTTCTCCCCAGCCATCACACAATGGCAGCGCACTCATACCGATGCCACCAACCAGCATCCTGGAGATAGCGAGGCCGTAGTGCCGAATCCTCGTCGTCAGTTAAAAAAAAAAAAAAAAAAACAAGTATTCTTCACTGCGTTAGTCCCCGCTGGACGCAGCTCACTCGTCATCAACCTGTGTCCCCCGTTGCCTCCGACACCAAAGTCTAAACCAGGGGTCTCAAACATGCGGCCCGCGGGCAACGGGCTGGGAGCCCTCGTTCCCATGCCTTGAGCGCAAGAAATGCGCTCAAGGCATGGCGAAAATAAATCAGCAAATGGTTGCTGATTTATTTCCTTTCGAAACATAGCTCTGCTCTTGTAACGTATTTACACAGTTACCTTTCTGTTTTCATTTGCCTTGTGTCTTCTTTTATAGTTTGCTTCCACTGGTTTTCTCACGTTAGTCACCTGTACCACAATTTCGCTTTTAGGCTGCAAGCGCGAGCACTTCACTCAAGGACACACTTCGGCTGCACAAACCCTCGCTCAGCAGAGGAATGGTCAAAGATAAAGCTAAGAGCTTGAGATGTTCGCCTTACGGAAAAATCGCCATTCAACTACAAGTATTTTTTTAGACTGTCGCTATCAAGAATCCCCAGGAAACAAAGCGCTGTCATATGAAGAGATTTCCTCCTTTTTAAATAAATCCAGAGCTTGAATAAGTCCTGAATGAATTGGTGAACAAAAAACGGCAGTGGGATTGCTCTCGTAGGAGTGGTGCCATTTTAAATATTGTTATCACATCAGACAAGGACCCAAAATTAGTCCTATAAACAAAGCAAATCTGAAGATGTCAATAACTACACTGCGAATTTAAAAAAAAAAATGGAGCATGAGGTTCCTCCTCAAAATACTCCCCACTCTCTCTCTCCTCCCCCCCCTCCCCTCCCCTCCCCCTTAGGTTGGCCCTCGACCTTTCGAAAATGGGCTATCTGGCCTCTGGCCCGCGCACTCAAATGAGTTTGAGACCCCTGGTCTAAACCGTTGGTCTCCAAACCCTGCTCGCGGAGGTCTTCCGACCGGCCCGTGGCTGACCGCGGTCATATTGCCACGCTCGTCGGCGAGTGACCGCGTGCGTGGCCGAGTGGTTATCGCGCTTGGCTGTCGCGCGGAAAGTCTAGGTTCGATTCCAGTCAGGGGACGGCTCCCCCCCTTTTATTTATTATTTCAACAGTGTGAGTGCTGCCATGTCGCTGACATCCAGAGCGCCGAGGAAACACTCATCGTCGTCCTCTTTGGTGCAGGCAGGAGCGACCTCGACTGGAGCCCTCGACAGGCAGTCGGCGTCATTGTGCTTCCGGCCGGACTTGTACACCACGGTCATGTCGAACTCCTGCAGTCGTAGGCTCCACCGGGCGAGGCGTCCGGAGGGGTCCTTCAGATTCGCCAGCCAGCGGAGCGAGGGGTGGTCCGTGACCACGCGAAAAGGACTTCCATACAAATATGGTCGAAACTTTGTTATTGCCCAGACGACAGCGAGGCACTGCTTTTCAGTAGTTGAATAGTTCCTCTCCGCGTTAGACAGCTTCTGGGCGTCGAAGTCGGCGTAAGAGCAGAGTCGAACGCAGGGGCGAGACTGACTGCAGATCGCCACGCGGAGCCCCTTATGTACGCGCGTTGGCTTCTGGAACCATCGGCTTAGAATGTTCGGCGACTGGAACTTTCGGAACTCGATAAGACGAGAATGTTCTCGAACTCACGAGAACGAAATGTTGAAAGAATAAATAAAAGGAGCAGTCCACTGACTGGAATCGAACCTAGACTTTCCGCGCGAAAGTCAAGCGCGATAACCACTCGGCCACGGACGCGGTCACTCGCCGACGAGCGTGTGGCCAGCGGCCCGCTTGCAGCGAGGCCGCTGCTATCAGCGCGAAGTGCGTAAAGAAACGAAACGGCGTCGTTACGTAAACAAATATACCAGGAAAAAAAAAAAACTAGAGAAAATTGTTTATTGTAAGGCGTGTTTCCTCGTCATATTATGAATTGGACGTTGTCATCACCATTTTTAGTCCACTGTTACATTAACTACGTATATTAAAATTCTTTTGCGTTCGCATGTACAGAGGACGTGTTTCCGGAAATGCGGGGAAAATCGCTTCTGCGAAAACTACTCATCGCACAGAAACAAATGGTTGATGCCGTAGAGGTCCGCGTCAAAGGGCCCGTTTAGGAAAATTATTGGCTTTCAATAGAATGCGCCGATCTCACTGAGAGTTGGGCGCATGCGTGACGCCACGATAACTTTAGTTCACAGAAGGCAGACGGCCGTGCTTTCCAGGGCTCGTGCCGTGTCGTGCTCTACACACGCAAAGCTACAGCGAGCTGGTCGCACTCGCAGAAAGACTAAAGTTCCCTCGATGCATTGCGGCATCGGTGGCGTAGTCAAACTGACTGGTGGGATCGGTCTATTAAGTAATTAAATAATTTTGAGTAATTAAATTGTTAAATATTAATTTTAAAGGGGTGGTTTCAATGAGAATCATGCTGGGCACCTCGAAAACTACGAAATGTACCCACGTTGCAAAGATATAAGCTGCGCGCAACATTCTACGGCGTTCCGAACAAATGCTCAATTTGGGCGCTCTTTCTGGGTTTGGGTTTCTTATCGGAGCGCATCCCCGCGCGGGCAATCCCGCCCTTCTGTGTCTACGCGCAGCCTGCTGAGCGCACCGCCACGCATCGCATGTCAAGGTGTGTCTTCAGGCACCGACGTCAAAAAGGCAAACCTCGTGTGACAGTCGGGAGGCTTTCTTATCTAGCCTTTTCTACGTGCGATGCGTGGTGGCGCACGCAAGTTGCGCGTTTTAGGCGGGGGAGCGGGATTGCACGCGCGGAGATGCGCTTCGATAAGAAACCGAAACCTAGCCGTAATATGCTGCTGTCTGCCCTTGAGGTCACGCGAGAGTTGCAATGGCCGCCCACCTGTCACTAGTCCTCTCTCTCCCTTTCTTTTTTTACGCCGAATAATAATGCGACTCACAGCGCACCGATGCACGGTGATGTTTTCGCCGCACCAAAATATGCCTCCAGCAACTCAGAAGCTGAGAGCACTTGCTGCTCGGCTGTCAGCGAATGGGGCCCCTCGCGACGCCGCCAAAGCTTCCGCAGCAACTGTCAGAGCCAGCGATTGTCGGGTAGTATTCCCCGCTTACGTCCCTGACGAACCTTGAACCGAACACATCAAAAACGTAGCGATGGTTCGTGAAAGATCGCTTTGGCTCGCCCCGTCCGCGAGCGTGAACGTCGCCATCTTCATTGAGTTTGGCAACTTCGGCTGCCTGGCAACTACAAAGTTATCTCAATTGCCAAACTCAATCGTGGAGACATTTTGACGTCACCGCTAACTTTATTATTTTACCAGCATAGCTCGAACTCCATCGGAATCCGAAAGGAAAAACTCAATCGCAACGTCACATCACGTGACCAAAAGGGCAGCCAATCAACGATCGATTGGGTTAACTTCATCGTTGAGTTTGCGAGGCTTTTCCTCCTCTGTCGTCACCGCTAGTGGTACGTGGATCTCTGCGGCGCCATCTCTCGTGCCAGAGGCGGCGCGAACGCGTTCTTGACGTGTTCGACGACGTTAAGTCTATTGTCTTGTCCTTGTTGCCTCAACACGGACCTTTATTTGTTTCGACGGCGTTCGGCTCAGGTGCGCAACGGAGCCGGAAGGCTGTCTTGCAAACGTTGGGTTTCGATGACCGCTTGTGCGGCAGCTTGGCCTTGCGTGCAAGCTGGACCAGTTTTTCCTGACTTCTGCACGTGATCAGCCTGGTCTGGAAGGCTTGGGCCTCGTCCAGGTACCGCTGCTTCTGGGACGCCAGGTCTTCGGCCAGCTGTCTCTCCTCTTGCCGTATGGTGGCCAGCTTCCCTTCGAGCACGGCCACTTGCTGTTTGCGGAGCTCCAAAGTCTCCGTCCAGTCCTGGAGAGACGAGACCGTCGGAGGCATGTTATTTTTAACCTCCAACAGGTTAGGCCTGTCTATGGACGAAAAAACTGACGGAAGGACGTCATCCGTTCAATTTGGCGGGCAAGATCGCGCCCACCGAGTTTAGCGGACTTACGTCCCGCTAAATTTAGCGGGATGTCACGTGACAAGCCTAGGCTATGACGTAATGTTCGTTCAAGAATTCTGTCAGGAATAAGCATAACAAAACCTGCAGATGTTTTTCTCTTTTTTTTTTTGGAGCGCAGCTTTTAGGGGCATGTTTTCGGCTTGAGCGGCGTCGGCATAACCGTGAGGTCACGTGACCCCGGTGACGTCACGTGACCCCGTGAGGTCACATGACCTCACGGTTACGCCGACGCCGCTTGGAGGGAGGAGTAGCAGGCAGGATGAGGAGGTGAGGACGAGGGTATACGCTCCCCTCAGTACCCTTCCCTCCTCCTCAAGAGCTGCGCTCTAATTCGGTGTTACAGGGGGTTTTAAGTGCAGCTCTTAGGCGCCCGTTCCCGGGTTGAGCGGCGTTGCCGTCGCCGTCGCCGTCGGCGTAACCGCGCACGTTCCTTTATGGGACGTTTCCCCGCTAAAGTTAGCGAAAAATTTTCCGCTAAAGTTAGCAGCGAAATTGACGTCACGTGATCTCATCAACAATTCAGTTTCCCCGTTAAATTGAGCAGGGAAAATGACGTCACGACTTCATGTCACGTCACCCATGAACAAATTCAGCGACAGGGGGAGGAGAAGGGGCATACCCTCCCCTTCGTACCCTCCCCTCCTCCCCCTCAAGAGCTGCGCTCTAGTTTCGCATTACAAAGATTTGTAAACGTCTTTCATTTTCTTTCTTTATGTTGGCAGTTTTTAACGTTGTAACATATGTTATAAATTATATTGCTGACTTCACTCGAGGGCACCGTTGCTCTGGTGCGCTCAGGCACATTATCCACAATTACTAAGTGAGCTACGCTTAGAGTATTGGCACTTTGTTCCCCGACATTGTTGTGGGTGCCGCCATCTTTGGTGCTTGTTCAGAGTAGACGCAAGTGCCGATCGTCATGATTCAAAAGTGCGACTTCTTCAGCATTAGATTCGGTGTTAGGAAGCTCATGTAATATTGTTTTGCTCTGTAGCAAACTGTGTAAACGTTTCTGGAGGACGGAAAAGCGTTTTCCGTAATTTCAGGAAAAGCTTCAGATAACTGGCAGCCATGATTCTAAGCCCCAAGATAAGTGCCGTTACACTGAAGCGTAGCTTATTTAGTGGCTCTAGTCTCTACGAATCAATGCTGACCCTTCAGTCTCAAAATGACCTATATTCTTAGGCCTGGTTCAGACAGTTGCGTTTGAGTGCGTTTAACTGCGTTGTGGCAACGAGAAACCATGACATCCCTGCTGCCTGTATCGCGTGCCAAAAGGATTCCTTGAATTGGATTCCATGCTTCATACGAAGCTCAGATGTGCCGGTGACTCGTTTTCGGTTCTCGACGCAACGCAGTCGAACGCACTCAAACGCAAGTGTCTGAACCGGCCATTAGAATTAGGGAGTCGAACTTATATGCCTCAGAGGCCGATGCCTCGGCAGCACATTATGACAGGCACAATGCCCTTCCCCAATGTCCTCCTCCCCATTCCCACTCGCACGTTTCTCTCCTCCTCTCCCGAAAGGAGCTGGTTCGGACCAGGCGTGTACAAGATACTCAGAAAAAGTACTTAAGTTAAGTTACTGAGTACCTGGTTGAAAAGTAACTGAGCACAGTGCAAAATACTCAAATCTGAAAAGTATCTGAGTATAGGGTAGTAAATATTCGAATAAAGCAACTCGTTAGTTTCAAGATAACCCTGGCCACAGCCGGCCACTACATCCTCTTAGCAGTGACCTAGCCCCCCCCCCCCCCCCCCCCCCCCAAAAGCGTTCCACAAAACTATTTTCTTTGCTACTTGAAATTGTACTTGAAATTGTTTGGTCTTTAAGATTTTTTTCTTTTTTTCTATTTATTTGATGCAGAAAAGCATTTTTCCCTCTCTGAACAACCAGCATTTTTCCTCTCCGAAAATAAAGGAAGAAGGCTGCAGTAACTTGCTATACTCCGTTTTACCTTATGTTGTACCGCAGCGAATGCTAGAAGCGCGAGCTCATAGCGTTGACAGAGCTCGTGCCGCCGAGATGTTCCTTAGAGCATGGGGCTCGCGCTTGTAGCCTTTCCTGCGGTACATCATAAGGTGAAATAGGGTATAGACTTGCCATGATAAAAAAAAACGACGAGCTCTAGCCATGATAAAAAAAAAACGAAATTACATTTATGCGAGGCTGATTTGCATATTAAAAGAGTGATGAAACCGTCCGTCGTTCGACCATATTCAGAAAGGTTCGGTAGCGCCATCTGCCGTTCTGCGCCAACGGCAAGCGTAGGAATCTTTTACCATTTTTTTAACTCACAAATCGGCCGCACATAAATGTTTTTTTTTTTTTTTTTTTTTTTTTTAGGAAGCTTTACGTTTGTGACAATAAAACAAGGATCACAAAACGCACTTGAGTGCCCCCTTGATAGCCTGTATTTGTTTCAATGAACTTTCATTTGGAGTGCACTTCGTCTTGTCTATTTCCTTCTCCATGTTTATTCGGCGCTTTTCGTTTAGCACGTGTGACTATTTGAACCGAAGTGATGTACGAAAACAGGCTCCCCTTTTACGCAGACAGTTGAAATGCTCTCTACTTAATACAGCCTCACTGGTTCTCTAAAACGTTATGGAATTTTCGTCCGGTGTGTTATGCGGTTTCGTACGAAACACGAGCGCACTCTATGGGCGCGCGCTCGCACCCTAAATCGTTCATACAGTCCGTCTGCTTCAAAATGACACCTTCAAACCTCAGCTGTCGCTATGTCTTTAATGTCGGTCATGTTCAGGAGGTGACCGGGCAACACTGACAGAATTCTGGCGTATAAGTTCCGTGTTTTCCGCATTCATTTTTCTTTAAATTCCGGGGTTATTTACCGGCGTTTTTTTTTTTTTCCTTTGAATCGGTGTTTTTCGGTGTCTAATTACAATGCCGGCGAGAAATTGATGTTTATCGGTAATATACAAGTTATAAATAATAATATTTTTGACCAGTAAGGCTGCAGGTAAAGAGTACAGAAGGGAACCGGGCAAGGAATGTGGTTTCGATAGAGAGGAACAACCCCAAGGACAGTTCAGTGCGGCTGTGCTTCGGGTCAACAAGAAAAAAAAGTAGGGTAGAAAATTTCTGCTCGTAAAGCTGGCGTTTCTTTTTTTTTTTTTTTTTTTTCTTCAGGGACAGTTTAATTTTGGGGTTTTTCGGTTTTTACCGTTTCAGAGAAAACCGCCTCGAGGGTTAATTTTTGGTGTTTATCGGTAACTGTATATACCAAAAACACAAAGCCCTTTAGGTATAACCCACCCACGTGACACGGTGGGTTAATTGCCTGCGGTACACAACATGTTGTTCCAGACTGCAGACATTGCAAACATCGAAAATCTCCATGATCGGGGGAGTCATACGACGCCCGTTTGAGTCATGATGCCACGCTCCCATCAAACCCAATCCGAATCACGACATGGGGGCTATGTTGTACGTTTTGGACTCCCAGGAGACAAGGGAGAAGGAAGTGACGTAGGTGTGAATGAACGTATCTTAGCAGCACCACGCAACGCGTCATCAGCGACTCCACCAATCAACATCCAAAGAGCGTTGTTGACGTCACTACCTTCTCCCTAGTCTCCAGGGGGGCTATGTTGCGCTTTTTGGACTCCCAGGAGACTAGGGAGAGGGAAGTGACGTCAACGACACAGCAAACGCAGATTGGGTGTTGATTTCGTTTTCTTCTGTCAACATCCAATCTGCGTTTGCTCTAGTCGTTGACGTCACTTCCTTCTTCCAAGTCTCCTGGGAGTCCAAAAAGCGCAACATATATAGCACCCCTGGGAGTCCAAAACGTGCAACATGGCCCCCCTGTCCTAAACAGTTCCAAAGCTAATTACCTGAGAGTCGGTTGCCTCCACCATCGCCCGACCAAGGACTTCACCCATGAGCTTGTTGTTCTGACGGAACCGGCACCAGGCCACCAGGACGTCAGGACTGTAGTTCGTTTCCAAAGCGGACCTCCCGTGGTCCGGGTCGCGGGGTTCCACTTCGACCAGAGGTCCTGGAATGATCTGCGACCGGTGCCCTAGCAGGGACTCCGAGTACGCCGAACGAATCCCCGGCGAGACAATCGTGGGCCAGTACCAAAGTCGACGATTTCGGTCGTGTTCCACGAAGCGTGCGCTCCGATGGCCGTAACTGGTACACGGACGCCGAGCGTCGTACGAGAATCTGGCAAAGTGGCGGTCTTCGTAAGCTCGTGACATATTGTCGTCTGTCTTGCGAAAAAATGATGTCGTCGGATGATCGTCTGCCACCGGGTCACGGGGCCTTGACCAAAACTTCGTTCTAGTTCCGTTGACCTCCTCGGGGCTTATGGAAGACGGCAGACGCCCGGCGCTTCTGGTGTTCTACGACAAACCAGACGCTTTCAGAATTTGTTCCTGAGTTTACATGGATGAATAGACCTATTGCTATATTACCCAAGCATCAAGGAGAATGCAGAGACTGGTGTTCCACGCGCCGCACGCGCTGGCCTCAGCAGTAGCAAGTTTTCTAAAGCAAATACCTAAAACAAATGGTATCTTGCACGCGCGTTCGTCAACGCTTTATTTTGGTTATTTACTTCGAATCTTTTATACGGGGAAGGCGTGCGCGTGTGGCGCGTGGAATACCAATCCCTCCATTCTCCTTGATGCTTGGGTAATATAGCAAATGGTCTATTAAGAGTGATAACGTATTTTGACTTTTTTTTTTTGTGACGTCGGCGTTGTTGAGGAACCTAGGCTATTGGCACATGACGTTTTCAGCCGACCAGGCGTTCCAGAGTTGAAACAAAATGGTCGACGAAGGGCCGCAGTCACGAAGACGATTGCAGAAGCGTCTGTTGTCGTAGCGGTCCGCAGAAAACACGGCTTTTTCAACATCGTGGTTCGAGACGCCCGAAGTACCAGCGAATGTGGAAGTTCGAAGCGCGCGGAGCGCGTGAATTCGGCGCGTTGCGAGGCCGCACGCACGCCATGAACCACGTGATCTCGCTGACTATGACGTCAGCAAATGGAAGGAACTTCAATGTCGGCGGTGTGGGCAGCGTTGGTTTCACAGCGCAATGATATCAAGCTTCCACCATGCTCATCACAACCACCATCGAACTTGTTGTTCGCGAGGTATACTGACGTCACGAGAGAAAACCAGGGTGCCACTAGAGCCACCAAAACATTTCGCCGCTATACTCACAAAGCCTGGCAGTTCGATGACGGAGCCATAGAGTGCCCGGTCGCAGATTTGGAGCGCGAGGATCTGGTAGCACAGAGAATTCCTCGGGAACCCGGTATTTAGCGCACAGCTTTTGCAGCGGCGAGGACCCGTATTGTTTTCAAACTTGACGAGAAAAGAAAAAAATAGTCAGAGTGCAGGCGAGCTGGTGTAAGTTGAACATGATTGTAAACCTGAGACTGGGGCAGAAAAGAGAACACAACAGAAGGTAGTAAAAGAGGAGGCAACGTCTCAAACTCAGCTGCAAAGTTTATTTCGAACACGCTTTATATACTCTACACAAAAAAAAAAAAAAAAAAAAAAAACATGACAAGAGGACAATGACGCTTCGGTAAACCTTCTCTTATCTCCCTTGACCTTGGCTGTGGGACACTCACACAAAGGGACGCATTCTAGCATAACCACCGCTACCCGGCGAACGTAGGTGAAAACACTACTGAACACAAAGAAAGGTTTGACCTTCAAAGGTGCGTTCCCTCTAACAAATCACTCAGTCCGTTTTATCGTGGGTAGCGCCATTTTGAGAGCGAGAGAGAAAAGGGGAAAGGGCTACCGGCGCTTTCCCCCTTTCTGATTGTGTAGAAAGAGTGAAAGCCCCGGATGAGAGGCTTGGCCGGTGTTGGGCGTCTGCAGTGCCCCAACTTCGTTCGCGCTTTCTTCTACGTTTCAAACTCCCAAACTTAATTAGAGCCATGGTCTTCGATGGCGACAGTCCCCCGGTCATCGGGACACCATTGCTCGGTCATAGGGTGCACGAATAACGACAGAAAGCGTCGAATACCGCCCAAGGACCTCGTAGCTTGCATGGAATTCGGCAAGGCGCGTGCGGCTGCAATGTTTTGAAGCTCCACCGCTTTCCGCGTGACTGGAAATGATGAACCATTCATAAATTTTTGCTTGCAATAGGCCCATTTCAACGCAGCCGTTTTTAGTAATGAACAAGCGATACACGAAACGGGAACCTTAATTAACTTTTGTAAACACCCGGAGCGGCTACATATTGTTTTGCTGCGCTGCTTTTATCTTGCGTGTCCGTGTTCTCATATTTCATTGTGGATGAACGACGAAGACGTTCTAGATGTGCTTATATCGAACCGCAGAAAGCGTCAAAGCAGCCACGAATTATTTTACTATCTGATGCAATATTTTGAGTACTAACCTCCAATTTCTATCGCTGACACGTTCGCTGCCGCTGTTCCCCCCGTTGCCGCACTGGCGGATCCCATGACTCGAACAAGGAAACGTACACGCTGGGTTCGAAGACGCAGATCGCAACACACGAGTCGTACCCTGGAGCGACTATCCAGAGCTTCAAAGTGCCCAATCAACGGAAACAACCCAAACAACCCACCAGCGGCACTCCAAGGAGCGCTTTTGCCGGCTCTCTGGTATCGCACAGGGGATCGCTATTCAGGAAAACCGATAGAACTACCTTTTCAACAATTTCTAGCCTCACCCGGCGGCGGAAATACGCCTTCAACTAAGTGTTGTAAATGATGAAATCGAGTCAGTCACCACTGCAAATTATCAATATTAAGATAAATTCAGTTAAAAAATTTTACAAGCTGAAACAGCAATTATTACCAGAAAACTGGCACGTATCTTGCGAGCGTACCCCATGTTCATCGGCGGTACAGCGTTCGGTGCGCGCTCCATTCACAAGCTGTTCCGAGCACAGTCGAGAAGATGGTGTTGAGGAAATGTCTTTTCGGTTTACGAACGCAATCCACTGCCGCCAAGATCGGGGTCATGTGGAAAGCGATGGAGCTTAAAGACATTGCAGCCGCTCTCGCCTTGCCCGATTCATTGCAAGCTACATAGGCCCTCGGACAGTATTCGACACTTTCTGTCGTTATTCGTGCACCCTATGACCGAGCAATGGTGTCCCGATGACCGGGGAACTGTGTCCATCGAAGCCCGTTACTCTAATTAAGTTTGCGAGTTCAAACCCAGACAACACCCGACATCCTCAGGACGTCCTCGAAAGGTACAAACGTCCTCAAGGCTTTCAAGACGTCCTCAGGACATCCTGAGAACGTCAGTCACTGGATCATCCTAGAAACGTCCTTCCGAGGACTTATTGAGGACGAAGGATACAAAGTTAGAGGTAATACATACGTCCTCAATTTGATTGCGTTTTTAAACAAATAAATGAATGAAATAGCGGTAGTATACACAGTTCACGTTCACTGCTCAATTAAATTTCACATACAAATTATTACATGTAGTCGCGTTAGTTTAGGACATCTTTTAACTATAGTTTTGATCAAACGATTCTTTAATAAAACCAGGACGCACTACAATTATTATTAGTTTTGTATTTGCGCAGTATTTCGAAATTCAGTTCCATTGGCAACATTCAATCTAGGTGGCGCAAGCTACCGCCTGCAACAAGGTGTACCGTTATGGCAATTATCCACCCATCCGAGAGACTCAAGCAAGCTAAGCCAAGGCAGGACGGAAACAGAAATAGCGCCGAGGTTGATGATGGCTTGATAATGTGGATGCTTGGGCTAGATGGTAATTCATGTTTGGATGAAGCAGCGCGGATACTGTCACACTCACAGGCACACAAGAAGGAAACAAACTCGCAGCGCTGATTAACAACTAATGGCGAATTCCACTGGTCGTTTTGGAGCGCGCCGGGATCGACTTTTCTGGAGCGAGCCTATTTCACTGGGCGATCGGGATTGAGACCGACATGTTTCACTGGTCGTTTTGGATTAGCTCCCGCTCCAGATCTTGATCTGGATCCGATGGCGAATTCCACTGGGCGTTTTGGAGCGCGCCGGGATCAGTTGACCAGATCCGGAATGGAGCTCACACTCCGAACGGGGTCGCGCCGGCGATGGATCCCCATGTGTAACATGACCACTGCTCCGGGATCGGCATTTGCCTTCATGTCATTCGACTGCCGGGGAATCCCCTTTTCGTGGCCGCCGCGGTCGTTTTGAAGACGTTTTCGCCATCGCGGTGCTAACACGTGTTCAACAACAGTCGGGCAACATGTTGTTGCCGCCCGGCAAGAGTGTTGCCCGATTTGTTGTCCGACAACCCTGTCACACCGTGCTGACGGCGAGGACAACACGGGGAACACTCCGCCATCTTGATTGTTTACCTTCGTTCGTGTGCGGCGCGGAATCGCTGGAAATGTGACTCTACAAAGCGCTAGTGCGTCCGAAGGGCCGGGAATTACTACGGTACGACATCAACCAGTGGCTGTAATTAGAAAACTTGACACGGGGAGTATTTTCCGCTCTTTATATTTATCAAGATGTTCTTCATTCGCTGACAAAGCAGATAGCCCTAACCGAGGAAAGTGACATCGCTGATATATGTTCGGCATTTACGCCACTGTATGAAGTGTTTCTGTCCGGTTCTTTCATGCAATTCCTATTTCTACTGTGAAATTGCGATAGCACCGGCAGTACCCCAAACCGTCTTTTGTAACGTGGTGTTGAGCTGAACTGACAGTGCTTCAAAACTGCGACACCGGCACCATCGGCCTTCATAACAATCGGCGGAATAAATAGTTTTCAACGCTGTCTACTTGTCTACCGCCTGCTATGTGATCGATTCCTTCCCCCAAAACGTCCTGGTTTTTTTTTTTTTTTTAACAAATCAGGTGTCTGGTAGCGGCTGGTTCCAAGTTCCAAGCATCAACGTCTACGAGATCGCGGCGCTAACACGTGTTCGACGCACAAGCGGCAGGAATGGCTCAGGAGCGTCTAGCAAAGATTGCCGGAATGCCCGTAGCGCGGCAAAACCCTTCTCTTCTTTTCTCCTTCCTGGAAAACGAACCGGCTGTCGAGCCAAGGGGTAAGCAAGCGGCCATTACCATTTCTTCTGAGGCGAGATCAGGCGAGATGCCCGCGAGAAAGGAAGTCACGTGTGTGCGCCGAGGGTTGACCCGGCTGGCTTCCGGTTGAATCCGCCGAAATCGGGGGAGCGACTTTTTCGGATCCAGATCGAGATCTGGAGCGGGAGCTAA